AAAAAAAAAAAAAAAAAAGGGACAAAATGTAAATGACACCACCTGATAGACTGCAATGAGAGGTACAAAGCATCATTTCTGTGATATTCCTGCCAAAATTAATGACCTAAATATAATCATGAGAAACCATCAAATTAAAAAAATGGGCCTGTAACTTTAAAAAATGTCAAGGTTATGAAATCAAGGAAAGAGTGAAGAGCTATTACCTGAAACTGAGACAAGACAACTGAATGAATGCAAGGTGTGATTCTGAATGGCATTTGGGTATAAAGGATGATATTAGATTAAATGACAAACCTTGAATAGGGTCCGAATTCTAGTTGGTCGAAGTGTATCAATGTTAAATTCCTACCAAAGATGGCTGAATCGTGGTTATGTGGGATAATGTCCTTGTTTGTAGGAAATATACACTAAAGTATTTTGGGTGATGGGTCATCAGATTGGCAACTTACTCTTGAATGGTTAGGAAAAACGTTCTTTATACTTTCCTGCATATTTATGATTGTTTTAAATTTTAATTATTTGAAAATGAGCAAAATAACTCAGTATTTTTTAGGGATACATATGTACTTGGTAAAACTATGAATAAAAGCAAAAAATGATTAACATCAAGTTAGAATAGAGTTTATCTCTTGCACAAAGGGAAAGAGAGATGATCAGGAAAAGGTACATAAGGTATATTGGTATATGTTTTGAGCTAGATGGTGCATATGTGTTTATTATTATTTTAACTATGTATATATTATATTTTTGTTTATGTGTATACTATTCCCCCCCAATTTTTAAATGCTTTTAAATAAAGAAGGAAACCTAGGGCCGGCCCCGTGGCTTAGTGGTTAAGTGTGCGCGCTCCGCTGATGGCGGCCTGGGTTCGGATCCCGGGCACGCACCGATGCACCACTTCTCCGGCCATGCTGAGGCCGCGTCCCACATACAGCAACTAGAAGGATGGGCAGGGGCCGGCCCTGTGGCTTAGCGTTAAGTGCGCGAGCTTCACTGCTGGCGGCCCGGGTTCGGATCCCGGGTGCGCACCGACGCACCGCTTCTCCGTCCATGCTGAGGCCGCGTCCCACATACAGCAACTAGAAGGATGTGCAGCTATGACATACAACTATCTACTGGGGCTTTGGTGGAAAAATAAATAAATAAAATTATAGAAGGATGTGCAGCTATGACATACAACTATCTACTAAGGCTTTGGGGGAAAAATAAATAAATAAAATTATAAAATAAATAAATAAATAAATAAAAGAAGGAAACCCATATACAGTATGTTTCCACTTTTAATTAAAATAAAAGAAATTTTTAAGAAGACATAAAGGCCTGGAAAAATGCATCAAACTGATAATAGTGATTATCTCTGGGTAATGGAATTTAAATTGACTTCAATTTCTTTCAATACTTTTCTGTATTTTCATTCTTTTTCTACAACTAATAGAAAAATATGCACATAATGCTAATGATCGATTTTAAAACATATTAAAAATAATTCTTTTAAAATTACAAATCTAAACAGAAAAACTAGTCAAATGATAAGAAAGATAATCCATAAGACAGACTGAAAATGTTTCATTAATGTCCAAGAATTTCCACTGTCATGATATATTATGTTCAGAGAAGTGTTTATTAAGATCCTTAGTTCTTAAAAACAACTGTTGACTAAACTGAAAAGAAGAAATAAATTTAAACTTAGGAAAAAAAAAATCAGACAAATAATGAAATGGAAGACTCACCTATGAGAAATATTAAATTTCTGGACAATCCTTTTCCCATTGGCTAACCAGATCTGTATACTAGTGATGGGTTCCAGGTTGTTTAGCGGGACAGTAGACAAATTATTTTTATTCTTAACTTCAATACTCTTTGCTTTAGATACAATTTTTGGTGTGGCACTAAGAAAATCCAGACAACAAAGATGCATGTTTTCTCATTAAGCAGAACTTTATCATTAAACAATTACTATAAAAATTTTACATTAAGTACAGCTTTTAGAAAGATTTTAGTAAGTCAAAGCTTTGTTTCCTCAATAACAACACATAAAGATATTAATATTAGTTATGCTCATCATATATGATGATTACAGGAATCTAATGAAATTATGCATATCCAAGTAATTTGTAAGCTTGTAGAGTGCTAGAGAAATATATGGTGAATAGTATTACCTGAATAGAGCCTTACAGAAAGAATATACGATTTTATAGGGTTGCTAGCGCTACGGAATTTACTTTTATCTACTCCCCAGGTCAAAATTTCTAAAAGAAATTATAAGTTCACTATAGAGGTTAGTCCTTGTGTTATAAAGGAAAAGAAAGGAAACAAAGTATTTCCTGATCATTTTGAAAGTCACATCCAGATATTTTTACATGTGTGGATGAACATGTATATACCTTACCAATATTGATAATTAATACAGAAGAATTCATAAAAATAAGTGATCCCATATCTAACCTCTATGTATATTCTGTCATAAGGCATAGCTATGATGTAGACTGCATAATGTGAAAATAATTAAAGGCTTTGATTTTAACTTTATCAGGCATTTTTCATTTTTATTACCTCAAAATTCAAATACTGATCACAGAACACAATGTTGAAGGCACTGGTAACTATAAAATGGAATCCTATATTCAAAAGCTAGCATAAGTTCTCTGTAACACAAATGGCAAAGCTCAAGTGGTGGGTGCAAGGGAGAAAAAATGATTTATATCCATCCAATTTTGTCTACCGTCCTCAATAAGCCAGGTCCTTTTGATTTGATAAAATCAAAAAAGCCTCCATGATTTTTTAGTGTAGTGACAGCATATGTTAATTTAAATTAAGGTAAATAGGACTTAGGAGTTCTCATAAAAGTTAACATGAAAAAATCTCATTTCCAATGGGAGAAAATAACGACAGGCTGAATATCAGTCATGCCTCTGCTTATGGAAAGCACAGATCACAAGACTACTCACCTTCCCAGTCTGTGACCCTGTCCTGAGAAGGGCTGGAACACAGGCTTCGTTGACATACATACTTCATTTTTCTTATCTTCAACTTTAACATCCACCTCCTCTTTATCAAAAATTCCCTGTAATTCCAAAGGCAATTCCCTTGGAAGGTAAAGAGACAAAGTGATAAAGCTCCCAATATGTTTTTTCTTTCTCTGAAAAACATATTCTACATGCAAAAAGAACTGAAAAATACATAGAAATAAGAAGCATATAATATTCTTTACAAAAAAAATAAATGTATTTAAAATAATACAGTTAAATAACATGAATACCAAAACCCAAGAAAAACAACAGAGTAATTTTTAAGACTACAAATTCATGAACAGCTTGAGTTATTCAGCAGTACCTAGAACAGTACTAAAGTCATGAAATATTTGATGACTATATCCTGCTAAATTTAAACCATTTAATCATTTTTATAGGCATCTGAATAGGACTAAAAATGTGCTAGAAAAATGAAGCTCTCATTTCAATTTTTAAATGAAAATATAGATTTACTCTGGAAATGACAAAATAAAATATGAAATGTTAGAATTTTAAAAAATATTTTCAGTTCATCCTCCTAACAGAGAGATTAAATGAAGTAACGTAATCAGGACTTGGACTTAGTCTGGGCCTTTGTCTAGTATACCACAGATGCCTCTCTTCTGAACAAGATAAACTTCAGATGAGCAGGGACCACACTTGTTTTACTAGCAAACATATTCCAATACCAAGAACAGTGACTGGTGCATAGCACGACTTGGACAGATATCTGTTGAATCTTATGATCTTTTAAAGGTAGGGTCTTTCTTGTGTTTTGCTGAGGAAGATTCGCCCTAAGCTAACATCTGTTGCCAATCTTCCTCGTTTTTTTTTTTTTGGTTCAGGATGATTAGCCCTGAGCTAACATCAGTGCAAGTCTTCCTCTACTTTGTGTGTGGGATGCCACCAAAGCATGGCTGATGAGTGGTGTAGGTCCATGCCCGGGATCTGAGCCCACAAACCTGGGCCCTGAAGCAGAGCGCACCAAACTTGAATCATTTGGCCAGGGGGCAGCCCCACGTAGGGCCTTTTCTAATGAGCACTTGAAAGTTTATAATGTTATGGAATATACTTGATATATAAGCAATGAACTTCCATGGGGAAATTTTTAACAAATTACAAATTTTAACTTTTATAAAATGATTGTTTAAGAATACTTAACACACAGGGCTGGCCCGGTGGCTTAGCGGTTAAGTGCGCGCGCTCCGCTACTCGCGGCCCAGGTTCGGATTCCGGGCGCGCACCGATGCACCGCTTCTCTGGCTATGCTGAGGCCACGTCCCACATCCGGCAACTAGAAGGATGTGCAACTATGACATACAACTATTTACTGGGGCTTTGGGGGAAAAAAAAAGGAGAAAGATTGGCAATAGATGTTAGCTCAGAGCCCATCTTCCTCAGCAAAAAGAGGAGGATTAGCATGGATGTTAGCTCAGGGCTGATCCTCGTCACACACACAAAAAAAAAGAATACGTAACACATGCTTGTTCTAAAAAAATAAGACACAAAAAATGTAAACACATGTCAACTTAGAAAGTGATAGTCCTTATAATCCCACTCTCACTTCAATAAAAAACTTTAGTGTAGGGGCCAGCCTGGTGGTGCAGTGGGTAAGTGTGTGCACTCCACTTCAGCGGCCCGGGGTCTGCAAGTTTGGATCTTGGGCACAGACCTATGCACAGCTTGTCAGGCCATGCTGTGGCAGGCATCCCGCATATAAAGTAGAGGAAGATGGGCACGGATGTTAGCCCAGGGCCAACCTTCCTCAGCAAAAAGAGGAGGATTGGCAACAGATGTTATTAGCTCAGGGCTAACCTTCCTCACATGGTTTTAGGAAAAAAGTTCTTTGTACTATGCTTGCAACTTTCATATAAGTTTGAAAAAGATTCAAAATTAACTACATTATATATTACAAAGCAATCTGAAATCTGTATATATATATTATACATACATATACAGAGATACATATATTGAAAATGGTTACATATAGAATACTATCAACCCTTCTGAAATAAAGACTGACCAAAACAAGTGCTTTACACCATAAATTGATGTCATATGTAAAAACATGTGCTAAGGAGAGATGTCATGGGACAGAAATTTAATGTTGTATATATTTTTTGGAAAGCAAAAGCATGAAGATGAACATCAATAGCTGAAAGAATGTTCATGCCTTTGATTCACTTTCTTTCTAGTAATCTATCCTGAAAGAGTAATCCGAGATATCAGTCAAAATTTAAATACAATTATTAAAAAAATAGAAGAAAATCTTCAAGATTTTGGATTAGGCAATGGTTTCTTAGATAATGACACCAGAAGCAAAAATGACAAAAGAAAAAAAATAGATAAATCAGACCTCATCAAAATTAAAAACTTCTGTGCTTCCAAGGACATCAAGAAAATGAAAAGACAACACAAAGAACGGGAGAAAATATTTTGAAATCATATATTTGATAAGGGACTTATATTCAGCATATATAAAGAACTCATTTTAAAACAACCCAGGGCCGGCCCTGTGGCTTAGCGGTTAAGTGCGCACGCTCCGCTGCTGGTGGCCGGGGTTTGGATCCCGGGCGCACACCCATGCACCGCTTCTCCGGCCATGCTGAGGCCGCGTCCCACGTACAGCAACTAGAAGCAACTATGATGTACAACTATCTACTGGGGCCTTGGGGGAAAATAAATAAATAAAATTATAAAAAAAAAAAACAAAAACAACCCAACAACCCAATTTAAAAAATAGGCAAAGAAAAAAATGGATGAAGTATTTGAATAAACATTTCTTCATAGAAGATACACACATGGCCAGTAAGCACACAAAAAGATGCTCAACATCTCTAGTCATTAGGGTAATGCAAACCAAAACCACAATGAGATACCACTTCACATCCACTGGGATAGCCATAATTTAAAAACCCAGACACTAACAAGTCTTGGCCAGGATATGGAAAAACTAGAACCCTCATACACTGTTGGTGAGAATGTAAAATGGTGTAGTCACTTTGGAATACAGTTTGGCAGTTATAAAGTTAAACATAGAGTTAACAACAATTTCACTCCTAGACCTCAGAGAATTGAAAACATATGTCCACACAAAAACTTGTACACAGGGGCCGGCCCAGCGGCGCAAGTGGTTGGGTGCATGCGCTCCGCTGCGGCAGCCCAGGGTTCGCTGGTTCGGATCCCGGGCGCACACCGACGCACCACTTGGCAAGCCATGCTGTGGCGGCGTCCCATATAAAGTGGAAGAAGATGGGCACAGATGTTAGCCCAGGGCAAGTCTTCCTCAGCAAAAGAAAAAAAAAAAAAAAGAGGAGGACTGGCAGATGTTAGCACAGGGCTGATCTTCCTCACAAAAAAAAAAAAACTTGTAGACAAACGTTCAGAGCAGCATTATTCATAAGAGCCAAAATGTGGAAATGACCCAAATGTCTTTCCACTGATAAAGAGATAAACTACATGTGATATATCCATACAATGCAACACTATTTGGCAATAAAAAGGAATGAAGGACTGATAAAGCCACAACATGGATGAACTGTGAAAACATTATGCTGAGTCAAAGAAGTCAGATACAAAAGGATTCCATTTATACGCAATGTCCAAAATAGGCAAATCCAGAGAGACACAAAGTAGATTAGTGGTTGTGTAGGGCTGTGGGGAAGGGAAAATGGAGAGTGACTGTTAGTATGAGGTTTCTTTTTGGGGTGATGAAAATTTTTTGCAATTAATAGTGCTGATGGCTGCACAACTCTGTGAATATACTAAAAAATACTGAAATGTACACTTTCAAGGGATGATTTTTATGATAGGTTAATTATATCTAAGTGAAGCTACTATTTAAAAAAAATTTAAATACAAGGATAGTCACAAATAATTTTATACTGCTAAATTAAGAAATAACCTAAATTGCCAACAATGACTAAGCGTATATATAAAAATTATGGGTCACCATTGTGATAATATGCAGATATATTCAAACATTTCAAGGTAAATTCAAAATTATTTTAAAAATAAATATAGGCAGGGCCAGCCCAGTGGTCTAGTGGTTAAGTTCAGTGCAGTCTGCTTTGGCAGCCTGGGTTCGGTTCCTGGGCACGGACCTACACCACTCGTTAGTGGCCATGCTGTGGTGGCAGCTCACATACAAAAAAAGAGGAAGACTGGCAACAGATATTAGCTCAGGATGAAAGAGAGAAAGAAAGAAAGGGGGCCAGCCCCGTGGCTTAGCGGTTAAGTGAGCGCGCTCCACTGCTGGCAACCCGGGTTCGGATCCCGGGCGCGCACCGACGCACCGCTTCTCCAGCCATGCTGAGGCCGCGTCCCACATACAGCAACTAGAAGGATGTGCAGCTATGACATACAACTATCTACTGGGGCTTTGGGGGGAAAAATAAATGAAATTATAGGCGATTTTTAAGTTCTTAATACTTTAGAAAATTTCTAGACCAAACATATATAACACTTAGAATCATAAATATAGGGCCGGCCCCGTGGCTTAGCGGTTAGGTGCTCACGCTCCGCTGCTGGCGACCCGGGTTCGGATCCCGGGCGCGCACCAACACGCTGCTTCTCCGGCCATGCTGAGGCCGCATCCCACATACAGCAACTAGAAACATGTGCAGCTATGACATACAACTATCTACTGGGGCTTTGGGGGAAAAAAAAAAAAAAAAAAAAATTAAAAAAAAAAAAAAAAAAGAATCATAAATATATAATAAACATCAGAGGGCAATGGTAATCACAATCCAAAGACTATAAAGATATTTAAACATCTAAACATAAATATTAAATAACAACTAGGATGTGGTATTAAGTAATACTTGGCAAAGTGAATGAGTTTAAGTCAGATTTTGGTGGATCAGAATTCAAATTCCTAAACTTTCTTCAAAATTACAGCTGTGGCTCTCTTAAGAAAACCTATCTTATGAAAATCTGAATTTATAAAAGAAAAAGCATCTGTGAACGTGTAAGGATGTGTGAACGACATTAAAAAAGATTCTTCTAAATGAAACATGCCTAAAATATCCTCCTATTTACAAACCTTGCTTACCCTTTTTTGATGGAGTTCAGAAACTGCTGACTTGCACCATCAGAATAACTTCTGAAATCATCGTTGACTGTGAATCCATTTTTCCATAATTTTATACTGACATCTACCTGCAAAGCAGTAAGAAACAAAATGCATCATGTATAAAATGTACTATTAGATTAAAAGTCCTTCGAAAATTTCTGGTATCAGCATATATTTTATGTATCGCTCTCTTTAAAATTGAGTTATAATTGACATATAACACTGTATTCGTTTTAGGTGTACAATATAATGATTTGATATATGTATATATTACAAAATGATTACCACAATAAGTTTAGTTAACATCCATTACCATGCACAGCTACAAATTCTTTTTTAGCTATCATTCTTTTTTTTTTTTTTTTAATTTTATTTATTTATTTATTTTTCCCCCAAAGCCCCAGTAGATAGCTGTATGTTATAGTTGCACATTCTTCTAGTTGCTGTATGTGGGACGTGGCCTCAGCATGGCTGGAGAAGCAGTGCGTCGTGCGCACCCGGGATCCGAACTCGGGCCGCCAGCAGCGTAGCGCAAGCACTTAACTGCTAAGCCACGGGGCCGGCCCTTAGCTATCATTCTTAAGAGCAAACTTCAAATGTAAAAATCAAAAACAAGGTATATACATAATACAGTTCATAATGAGTAATATTTTTTAAACAAATCATTAATAGTTTTCTTTAAGAGAACTCATTTGCAAAAATATTCTGTGCCCTGTCTGTCTTAGAAAGACACAAGCTTTCTGTTCAGAACAGACTTCTCAACGGTTAGAGGAGGACTTTGTTTGAAATGACTTTGAACATTAAGAAGAATGTACAGGTGGGAAAAAACTATGACCAATTAATTAATGGCTATTCCTTCAAATATAAAATACCAGTGTTACATGGTGATCCTCAATATTTCATCCCTTAACATCCTGTTGATCAGCTCATAAGAACAATATTCATTCACTCATTCAATCAAAGAAGGTAAGTCACTGAAGAAATCTGAGAAACCACTGAGAGGTTCAGGAATACAGCAGAATGTAGGGATGCTTCTGGTTGAATACAGGTACACTGTTTTAAAAACTGCTGAAGAAGATATCAGATCATTAGAGTCCCTTCCTTGTCTATTCAGTTTATTGAGTGTCTAATATGTAACAGACACTTCATTAAGATGTTAGGGAAAATAATCATAATAATGATAGCATATATTATTTGTTTGTCTGTCTATCTACCTACCTATCAGTATGTGCCAGACACTGTTTAAAACACTCTTCCTACACAAACTTAGTCCTTTCAAGATCTACACAAGGTTGGTGGCATTATCCTTTTTACAGAGGAGGAAACAGAAACACAGATTAGTTAAATTATCCAAGGTCACACAGTCAGTAAGGCGTGGAGCTGGGCGGGAATCCATACTCTCAACCACTATACAACATTGCCCCTTTTATACTCATAATCAAACTGCCAAGTCTCTGCTCTCATGGTACTCAGGTAAAATAATGAGAATAAATCAAATAGGAAAAAAGCACATAAAGACGTTGAGGAAAACAGAAGAAATTTAAAAACAAAAATCCAAAAATGATCATTAATATACTCATATAAGAGAAGATGATGTTTGAAAGGGAGTAGGGAGGGAATAATCAGTGAACAAAAGAGGTCTTAGAAACTGAAAATGGAAATTGAATAAAAAGACTGAATATAAGGTTGAAGAAATATCCCAATTAAAACAGAACAAAACAACAAAGATGTGGAAAATGGGAGAAATAATAAAAAAATTAAGAGGCTCAGTCTAAGAGGTCCAATACCTAAGTAAAACATTTTGAAGAGACTGGCAACAGAGGGGAGCAAGATATCAAAGACACAACACAAGAAAACGTCCTAGAAAGGCAAAACACGAGTTTCTGGATTGAATGAATGAAAAAGGACCCACATCAAGGCCCAGGAGAACAGAGAGTTAAAGAGAAGATTCTAATAGCAGGCAGGGAGCAAAAACATGCCACATACAAAGGCTCAGATACCAGAATGGCATTCTATCATCAAGTGTGAAGGCAGAATAAAGGCAAACGCAGACTTCCGAGGTTTTAAGTCATCCATTTCCCATGAACTCTTTCACACACACTTTTTTCATAAAGCTACCTCAAGACTGGCTTCATAAAAACGGAAACATAAAGGGCAGGAGCTGGGAGAGGCATGGAATTGAGTAATCAGGAGAGAGGGGAGAGATACAGAGAATGCTCAGGATCACAGACTCCAGGGCAGAGCAGTATAGCCCCCCTAGAGGGCAACCAGTCCACTGGAGACGGGAGGAGGGCTTCACCACAGTTGTCCCTCAAAAAAAACTAAACCGGTAAGATTATCTAATGTGTTCAACATACTGGAAAGAGATATAGCCTTCTATCAGAGTTTGGGGATGAATTAAAGATAGGCACAAAGAAAATAAAGCCAATGTGGGAGGAAAAAAAATCATTATTTCTCATTAAAATTTAAAAAGAAGTCAGGAAAAGAAATATCATAATACACTACACAACTCAGTTATGTTGTATAGTATTTACAAAGTCATAAAGATATAAACAATTATAATTATTTTAATCCCAAATTATAACTGTGTTAGATGAATAAGAGGACGAGGCTTGGGGAGGAGGGAAAGGTAGAAAAAGAGAGCTAAATCCTCATTTTCTATAATAAAAAGTCAATATATAATTTGAGAAACTAAAAAAATCAAGAACCATCATTATTAGTATATTATTAGAAACACAGACTTTATTCCAGAAGAAATACCTAAGAGTTATCAGTTGTTATCTCTGGGAAGTAGACATCATGGCCAAGGAGGAACTGGGCTGCTATTTTTCAACATAAATTTTTCAGAACTATTAGACTTTGAATTTTCAGAACTTAAACTTAAAAAAAAATTTAAAATGTAAATTAGAGTGAAAGGATTTTTCAAAAATCCCTTTAATGTCTGACTTCAAAAAATTAGAAATGAAAGAGGAGAAATTACAACAGACACCACAGAAATACAAAGGATTATAACAGAATACTACGGAAAACTATATGCCAACAAATTGGACAATCTAGAAAAAACGGATAAATTCTTAGACTCATACAACCTCCCAAAACTGAATCAAGAAGAAATAGAGGGCCGGCCCCATGGCTTAGTGGTTAAGTGTGTGCGCTCCGCTACTGGTGGCCCGGGTTGGGATCCCGGGCGTGCACTGATGCACCGCTTCTCCGGCCATGCTGAGGCCGCGTCCCACATACAGCAACTAGAAGGATGTGCAGCTATGACATACAACTATCTACTGGGGCTTTGGGGGAAAAAAAAAAAAATAAAAAATTAAAAAAAAAAAAAAAAGAAGAAATAGAGAATCTGAACAGACCCATCACAAGCAAAGAGATTGAAACAGTAATCAAAAACCTCATAAAAAATAAAAGTCCAGAACCAGACGGCTTCTCTGGAGAATTTTACCAAAAATTCAAAGAAGATTTAATACCTATCCTTCTCAAACTATTCCAAAAAATAGAGGAAGATGGAACACTTCCTAACACATTCTACGAGGCCAACATCACCCTGATAACAAAACCAGAGAAGGACAATACAAAGAAGGAAAATCGCAGGCCAATATCACTGATGAACATAGATGCAAAAATCCTCAACAAAATGTCGGCAAACTGAATACAGCAATACATTAAAAAGATCATACACCATGGTCAAGTGGGATTTATACCAGGGACACAGGGATGGTTCAACATCCGCAAATCAATGTGATACACCACATTAACAGAACAAGGAATAAAAACCACATGATCACCTCAATAGATGCAGAGAAGGCATTTGACAAGATCCAACATCCATTTATGATAAAAACTCTCAACAAAACAGTTATAGAAGGAAAATACCCCAACATAATAAAGGCCATATATGACAAACTCAACAGCCAACATCATACTCAACAGGGAAAAACTGAAAGCCATTCCTCTGAAAACATGAACAAGACAAGGGTGCCCACTCTCACCACTCCTATTTAACATAGTACTGGAGGTTTTGGCCAGAGCAATTAGGCAAGAAAAAGGAATAAAAGGAATCCAAATAGGCAACAAAGAAGTGAAACTCTCACTGTTTTCAGACGACATGATTTTATATATAGAAAACCCTAAAGAATCCATCAGAAAATCATTAGAAATAATCAACAACTACAGCAAAATTGCAGGGTACAAAATCAACTTACAACAATCAGTTGCATTTCTACATTCTAATAACAAACTAACAGAAAGAGAACTCAAGAAGACAATCCCATTTACAATCACAACAAAAAGAATAAAATATCTAGGAATATATTTCATCAAGGGGGTGAAAGACCTATACAATGAAAACTATAAGACATTATTGAAAGAAATCGATGATGACATAGAGAGATGGAAAAACATCCCATGCACATGGACTGGAAGAATAAACATAGTTAAAAAGTCCATACTACCTAAAGCAATCTACAGATTCAATGCAATCCCAATCAGAATCCCAATGACATTCTTCATGGAAACAGAACAAAGAATAGTAAAATTCATATGGGGCAACAAAAGACCCCAAATAGCCAAAGCAATCCTGAGAAAAAAGAGCAAAGCTAGAGGGGCCGGCCCTGTGGCTTAGCACTTATGTGCGCGCCTGCCACTACTGGCAGCCCGGGTTCGGATCCTGGGCGCACACCAACGCACCACTTCTCCCGCCGGGCTGAAGCGGCATCCCACATACAGCAACTAGAAGGATGTGCAACTATGACATGCAGCTATCTACTGGGGCTTTGGGGAAAAAAAGGAGGAGGACTGATAATAGATGTTGGGTCACAGCCGGTGTTCCTCAGCAAAAAGAGGAGGATTGGCATGGATGTAAGCTCAGGGCTGATATTCCTCACAAAAAAAAAAAAAAAAAAAAAGTACAAAGCTATAATAATTAAAATAGCATGGTACTGGTACAAAAACAGACACACAGATCAATGGAACAGAATTGAAAGCCCAGAAATAAAACTACCCATCTACAGACAGCTGATCTTCGACAAAGCAGCTAAGAACATACAATGGAGAAAGGAAAGTCTCTTCAGTAAATGGTGCTGGGAAAACTGGAGAGCCACATGCAGAAGAATGAAAGTAGACCATCTTCTTTCACCATACACAAAAATTAACTCAAAATGGATCAATGACTTGACGGTAGGACCTGAAACTATAAAACTCCTGGAAAAAAATATAGGCAGTACACTCTTTGACATTGGTCATAGAGGGATCTTTTCGAATTCCATGTCTACACAGACAAGGGAAACAAAAGAAAAAATAAACAAGTGGGACTTCATCCGATCAAAGAGCTTCTGCAAGGCAAATGAAACGAGAATAAAAATGAAAAGACAACCCACCAGCTGGGAGAAAATATTTGCAAAGCATATATCTGACAAGCGGTTAATCTCCATAATATATCAAGAACTCACACAACCAAACAACAAAAAAACAAACAACTTGATGAAAAAATGGGCAGAGGATATGAACAGACATTTTTCCAAGGAAGATATACAAATGGCCAATAGGCACATGAAAAGATGTTCAACATCACTAATCATCAGGGAAATGCAAATCAAAACAACACTAAGATATCACCTTACACCTGTTAGAATGGCTATAATCACAAAGACAAAAAATAACAAATGTTGGAGAGGTTGTGGAGAAAAGGGAACCCTTACTCACTGCGGGTGGGAATGCAAACCAGTACAGCCTCTATGCAAAACAGTACGGAGACGCCTCAAAAAATTAAAAATAGAAATACCTTATGATTCAGCTATCCCACTACTGGGTATCTAGCCAAAGAACCTGAAAATCAACAATCCAAAGAGGCTTATGCACCCCTATGTTCACTGCAGCAGTATTCACTATAGCCAAGAAGTGGAAGCAACCTAAGTGTCCCTCGACTGATGACTGGATAAAGAAGACCTGGTATACATACACAATGGCATACTACTCAGTCATAAAAAAAGACAAAATTGTCCCATTTGCAACAACGTGAATGGACCTGGAGGGTATTATGTTAAGCGAAATAAGCCAGACAGAGAAAGACAAACACCGCATGATTTCACTCATATGTGGAAGATAAACTAATGGACAGAGAGAACAGTCTGGCGGTACCAGGGGCACAAGGGGTGAAGGGACACATTTACATAGTGACTGACAAACAATAATGTACAACTAAAAGTTCACAATGTTATAAACTATTATGACATCAAAAAAAATAAGCTGGATTCTCATAATTACTACTGCTTTCAGTCTGCTGTGACATGTTGTTTTGATTGAAATATATTAAAAAAAAAAAATCAAGTCTCATACAGATAAGTAGTTGCAAAAAGAAGTATTTTAATAGCTTTTCCAGGATATTCTTCTTTGACTCTACATCAAATTTAATAAGTGGTAGTATCTCAAAAGTTAGTTGAGAATCAATGTGGAATTTGAAATTTAATGGTCTTTTCATATGCCTCTTACATTAAAAGCCATTAGTGACACTTTGGCTACCGTACCCATGCATCATTTTATAACATCATAATAATCATTTGGAAAATATTGGCTCTCTGAGTTATGCAAATCTTCCAAATGTTGATATATTTCATTACACAATATATTAAAAAAGGTATATTCATTAATATGACAACAATCGCATTAAAAAAATCTTTAAGTTTGGGAAGCCGTCAAGTGCATGGTGGCAGTTTACCAAAATTCTTATGTTCACTAAAAAAATTCAACAAAGCCAAATACTATCATTTGCAACAAATATTGTAAGTTATTTTCCTTGAAATGCCAGCCTCACTCCATACATTTTGAGAAAACGACTGCCGAATATCCAAGTCCGAATACCAAGAGTGGTCTGCAGACCATTCTTTCATATAAAAACAGTATACCATGAGAAAGCAGACAGATCAGCATGCATCTCAAGCACTTGTACTTTTCCTTAAGATACTTCTGTATATTGTAGAAATGTTTTATGTGTACTTCATACTTTGTCATACAGATTAATAATGTGTATTGAAGGGTTGGGATTTAATAAAATTTATAAGTTTTACTGCTTCATCAAGGACATTCTTAATTGAAATTAGCATGTTTCCCCCTGCAAGTGCAAGCAAACAATACAGTAATGACCAGCACGGTTTGGTGCCACTGCCTTCATTCCTCCTAAGGCACCAGCAGTTTTACCCACCATTGCTTTTGCAGAATCAGTGCAAAGTCAACCCAGTGAAAAAGGTGAATAATATCTTACTATTATTATGAAAACAATTTTGACGCAATGGATCCTCTAAAAGGTCCATATTTTGAGAAACACTGGAAGGGATAAAAGTTAGGGACACTCACCTGTTTCTTCTGTTCAGTGGGAGACAAGCATTTGGCACCAACCTTCTGAGCTTCCTCAAAAAGGCTGTCAACAAAATATTCACAATTTGTTTGTCGATTATCACTGCGAGGTTGGCTGTCAGATCCTGTTTCACAAACCCTACACACACACACACACAAAAGAAAAATAAGCACTATTGACTCCTAATTCTCAAAAAATTTCCATAAATTGTTCTAGTTAAAGGATTCTGAACCGAGATGCTACCTCCACGTCCGCAGTTTAGACCCTCTTCTCAGGTAAGATAGTAGATATGTGACCTTGGGAAGTCATTACCCTTTTGGTTCAGAGCAGGGTTTTTCTCAACCTCAGTCTATTGACGTTTGGGAAGGGACAATTCTTTGTTGTAAGGCCTGTCCTGTGCATTGCAGGATGTTTAGTAGCATCCACGGCCTTTACCCACTAGATGCCAGAAACAATGCATACCGCCCTCCACCAATGTTATAACAACCAAAAACACCTCTAGACATTGCCAGATATCCTCCGGGGGGCAAAATCTCATCAGACTGAAAACCATTAGTCCAGAGTAAAAGAAAGTGTTCTTTGTAAAGGGCTCAAAATGGGTTTAAAAAGGTTACTATGTACTTTTTGGTAACAGAAAGCAGTCTTGAAACTAAAAGTGATAACGTGTCAGGAATATCATCGTTTTTGCTCCTTTGCACATTTGAGAATAAGATTTCCCACTGAAGACTTTCATTTGTAGTGGTTCAGTACTCTACTGGGTCCCCCACACACACCCCCCGCCTTTTATTGAGGTATAACTGACATACAACATTATATTAGTTTCAGGTGTACGACACAATGACTTGATATTTGTATATACTGCAAAATGATCACCAGAGTAAGTCTAGTTAACATCCGTCACCATACATAGTTACACAATTTTTCTTTCTTGTGATGAGAACTTTTAAGATTTACTCTCTTAGCAACTTTCAAATATGCAATACAGTATTATTAACTATAGTCACCATGCTGTACATTACATCCCCATGACTGACTTATTTATTCTGTAACTGGAAGTTTGTACCTTTTGACTCCCTTCACTCATTTTACCCACCCCCTACTACTGGTTTTTATTTTGTATTTATATTTCATCATTTAAGAAATATTACCTAAGATTTTGTTTGATAGAAAAGATGGTTTCTGGCTGATCTTTTTTGAAGCAATATTAAAAATTCATAAATGGGGGATGGCCCTGTGGCGTAGCAGTTAAGTGCGTGTGCTCCGCTGCTGGCGACCCGGGTTTGGATCCCGGGCGTGCACTGACACACCACTTGTCAGGCCATGCTGTGGCGGTGTCCCATATAAAGTAGAGGAAGATGGGCATAGATGTTAGCGCAGGGCCAGTCTTCCTCAGCAAAAAGAGGAGGATTGGCATGGATGTTAGCTCAGGGCTGATCTTACAAAAAATTCATAAATGTACTGAGATATAACTTCTCAGATTCTATAAATAATAACCAACACTTTTATAGCTCTTACACTGTGCCAGGATCGGTAAGGTAGATACTGTTATCCACATTTTATAGATAAGGAAAATGAGTCACAGAGAGGTTAAGTTACATGTCTGACATTACACAGCTAGTAAGTGGCAGAGACAGAATTCAAACCTTGTTAATCTGTCTTCCAAGTCTATGCACCTAACACTGACATGCTACAAAGCCTCTCTTAATATCTAACATTTATTGAGCACTTATTTATTTATTTATTTTTGCTGAGGAAGATTTGCCCTGAGCTAACATCTGTTGCCAATCTTCCTCTAGTTTCTTGTATGTGAGCCGCCACCACAGCATGGCCACTGATAGACGAGTGGTGTAGGTCTGTGCCCAGAACTGAACCTGGGCCACCAAAGCAGAGTGCGCCAAACTTAACCACTAGGCTACTGGGGCTGGCCCATATTAAGCATCTATCTATTAATACACATTAGGAACTATTCTAAGTACTTTACGTGTGTTAACTGATTCAATCCTCACAATGACCTAAAAGGCACATATTGTTTTTATCTCCATTTAATAGATAAAGAAAAAGCTTAAGCAATTTGCACAAGATCACAAAGCTATTGAAAGGCAGAACTGGAAATTGAACCCAGGCTGCCAAGGCCTGCACTCACTGCACTAGACTGTCTCTCAAAATAGCCATTACCATATTGTTATTAAAATGCTGATACTCAGGACAATGTTTTAATTTAGTATAGTCTTTTATTCTTCTAGGTAATTGTATCTATACTCTTAAGACATTCCATATTATCACAAAGTATTAATTATGGTTTTTCCAAAGCGATGTGATACTTCTTACACAAAAATAATCATGCTCTAAGATGATTTCTCACAATACTAATGATTTTCCCCTTTCTTTAACCAGTATAGATGTGTAGCAGTAGAAGATACTGTCTAAAAGCTCAGGCTTTGGTTTTTGTGTTTAGGTACCTTCACTAAGTCACACTGACTTTGGACAAGAAACTTAGCCTCTATGTGACTTGGTTTCCTCATCTGTAAAATGCAGATACTACCACCTATCTCACGTGGTTCTTGTGAAGATTAAATGCAAATACATATAGAGACCTATACCTGGTATACAGTATGTACCGGTATATATTCTGGCACACAGTAAGTTCTCAAATACAAGATAATAATATCATTACAACCACTTTATGCTGTCTGGTATTTAACTGTTTCTTCTGTTCAGAAAGCAGTTTATACTTAATTACTAAGTACAAAGCCAATAAAGCTGAGCATCCAGAACAGCTGAGGTTTTACTCCTTTATCTTACTTATTTGGTATGTAAATTCTACAAACTTCATTATGTTAATTCAAGTCATTCAAACATTTATTGAGTACCTACTATATGCAAGGTAGTAGGGAGATACAAAGATAAGAAAGAAACACTCTAGGTTTTTAAGAGGTTCAGAGTACAGTGTATGAAGATACATTATAAACAGCTCTATACCCACAAATTTGATAACTTAGATGGAATGGACCAATTCCCTGAAAGGCACAATCTACCAAAACCCACAGGAGGAACAGATAATATAAATAAGCCTACATCTATTAAAGAAAGTGAATCAATATTTAATAATCTTCCAAAACAGAAAGCAGCAGGCATGGATGATTTCACTGGTGAATTCTATCAAACATTTAAGGAAGAAATGATACCAATTCTCTATAATCTCTTCTGGAAAACAAAAGCAGAAGGGAATACTTCTAACTCATTCTATGAAGACTGCATTACCCTAACAGTAAAACAAGACAAAGACAAGAAAGGAAAACTACAGATAATCTCTGTCATGAACATAGAGGCAAAAATCCTCAACAAAATATTAGCATCTCGAATTCAACAATATGTAAAAACAATTATATACCACAACTGAGTAGGATTTATTCCAGGTACGCAAGGCTGGTTCAACATTAGAAAACCAATTAATGTAATCCATCACATCAATACACTAAAGAAGAAAAATCATATAATCATATCAACAGATACAGAAAAAGCACCTGACGATATCCAACACCCATTCATGATAAAAACTCTCAGCAAACTAAGAACAGAGAGGAATTCTCTCAACTTGATAAAGAACATCTACAAAAAAACCTACAGCTAATATCACACTTAATGATGAGAAACTAGATGCTTTCCCCTAAGATCAGGAACAAGACAAGGATGTCCTTTCTCATCATTCTTCTTCAATGCCATACTGGAAATTCCTAGCTACACCAATAAGACAAGAAAAGGAAATAAAAAGTACACAGATCAGGAAGGAAGAAATAAAATTGTCTTAGTTTGCAGATGACATGACTCTTTACAAAGAAAATCCCAAAGAATCAACAACATCAACAAAAGTCCTGGGGGCCGGCCCTGTGGCTTGGTGGTTAAGTGCGCGCGCTGCGATGCTGGCGGCCCGGGTTCGGATCCCGGGTGCGCATCGAGGCACCACTTCTCCGTTCATCCTGAGGCCGAGTCCCACATACAGCAACTAGAAGGATGTGCAGCTACGACACACAACTATCCACTGGGGCTTTGGGGGGAAAAAAAAAAATAAAAAAAATCTTTAAAAAAAAAAAAAAAAAACAAAAGTCCTGGGACTAATCAACAATTATAGCAAGGCTGCAGGATATGAGATTAAGATACAAAAGCCAAGTGCTTTCCTATATCCCAGCAATTAACAATTGGCATGTGGAATTAAAAATACAATACTATACATATTAGCACCATTTGTCAAACTCCACAGAACTGTACAACACAAAGAATGGACTCAAATGTAAAGTATAGTTAATAACAATGTGTCAATATTGGTTCCCAATTGTAATACATATACCACACTAATACAAGATGTTAATAATAGAGGAAACTATGTGTGTGTGGGATAGGAGGGAGAACAAGGATATGGGAACTGTGTATTTCCTGCTCAATTTTTCTGTAAACCTAAAACTACTCTTAAAAACAAAGATTAACAACAACAACAACAATAATAATAATAATAATAAAAGAGCATGAAGGACATTCCTGGACAGATAGGAAAAGAGTAGGAAAGTACATTATATTTAATTTAATATTTATTTATAATTCAGGAAACTCCTTTATATTTTACTATATTAAGTTATAATATAGCAAAATCCCACGGGCATATTGAGGTATGAGGACTTGCCTTAATACCAAATATATCCAGACAACTTTATTATTTCATCATTGTTTTCCACTCTGTCATCCTTTTCCTCACTATCATTTTATGATGCAAATATCAATACTCTTCTTCATAATTTGGAAACCAGATTACCAAAGTTGTTACGGCTAAGTAAACAGTCTTGAAGTTTCAGGAGTTCCTCTATTCTGGCTACAGAAAAGCCTCTCTTGCTCACTCTCTCATTCACTACTGTGTTCTGCATAAATAAGGTTATCAGCTAAGCTGTTGTCCAAATAGGTGAAGGATTTGCATCTATGTATGCTTCAGCAGCACACATGGTAAATATGGATCTTCACCATTTATAGTCTTTGAACAACTGATATACTTAGGAAATCAGTCTTCTTTTCATTTTTTACTGGACCGCTGCTTCTAACAAAATCTCTTTTTCTTTCAAGGAAAATTATAAACTCTATTACTAATACTTTTGTGTAGACACCTCACTAATTATTTAATTAAATTCAAAGTAGTGATACATGCTAAAACATGAATGAAGCTTGAAAACATGATACTAAACGAAAGAAGTCAGTTACAAAAGACCACACATTGTATGATTCCATTTATATGACATGTCCAGAATAGGGAAATCTATAAAGACAGAAAGTGGTTGTCCAGGGCAGGGCATAGGAGAATGAGGTATGACTGATAATGGGTATGGAGTTTCTCTTTGGGTAAAGTAAATGTTATAAAAATGACTGCAGTGTTGGTTGCACAACTCTTTGAATGTACTAAAAACCACTGAATTGTATACGTTAAATGGATGAACTATATGGTATGTGAATTATGTCTCAATAAAGCTGTTTTTAGGGCCGGCTCCGTGGCTTGGCGGTTAAGTGCGCGCACTCTGATGCTGGCGGCCCGGGTTCGGATCCCGGGAGCGCCCCGAGGCACCACTTCTC